ATGTGAAGAATTTATGAGGATATGGATTTTTTCCTTCTGCCTTTTGAGCTGCAAGAAATTTCAGCCTATTCTCATGGAATTGCTGACAAGAAAAGGTTGAATTTAACATTTTGCCCAAGAGCTCACTTAAATCTTTATGAATTTTGTATTGTGAAAAGCATTAATATAGCAAACAGTAAACTATACCGTGGGATCTATATCTTCATCATCAGCGGCTGCAGGTTTCTGACTTTGTGAGCTTGCCTTGGCCGCTGCCTGAAGAAAAATATAATTTAGTTATCAAAGATATCATAATGAAATTGTCGGATTTGAGCAACCACAAATAACGCAATTACAAAGATAATACTGGTCATCCACCTCCAATATTTAAAATTAATTAAAACCCAACGATTATTACGGATTTCATTTAGCATCTTCCAATTTATTGATCAGTACAAGTATACAACCATAGATGTTTTGCTTTGTGTTGTAAAACACTTCATTTGGATGCATTAATATATAAGTAAATACACACTGCATTGGATACATTTAACAGAGAAGAAAAGCGCATATATATGTTGTCTTTTCTACGAATTTATCAAGTAAATTTTTTCACAAAATATTTATTTCCAGAACCAGACTGCAATCTTTCATATCCGATGTAATAAATCAAACATTCATTTGTCGTTATCCACACATTAGTGAAAATATGGCTTCATTCAGTTGTTACTATCACTGCTCCTATTTTGAACCTTCTCCCTTTTATTTCCTAAAATATGTATTAAAGGAAAAGGAAACCAGTAAAACTCTAAAATATAACTTTAGGGAACAAAAATTTGCTTTTCATCGGAATATATGTTATATATTTTTACAACTTTTTAAAAAATTATGCTTATCATGATTTTGCTAAATATGAAAGCACATTATTGTGTCAGAAAGCAATATCTAGAAGTAACTTGAAATTTAAATACTTCATCATTTATAAAAACTATAATCATATTTTTTGTACTCACAAAAGAATATTTTTCATTAATTTATAGCATTCAAAACTCTACGTCGCTTTAGTACCGAAATTCACATTTTTGCTTAATGAATAGGACGAAGATAGGATATAAAAAATAAAATGTAGTACCTGCTTGGCTGCCTTTTCCTCCTCCTTACGGCGACGCTCCTCTTCCCTCTGCTTATTCTTAAGTTCCTTTTTACGAGCACTGGCAACACAATTAATGCAAGTAAAAAGAAGTTTAATTGATAATCGAATTACCAGATACTTTAGACTCTTTCGATTTCCAAGATCATTTTCTCATGAACCAAACAAGTAGATACGGAGAAAGGAAAGGAAATATACTTTTTGCTCTGATTTTCACCGGGAGCAGACGAATCCAATGCTAAAAAGGAAACTGCTTTAACCGTTTCTTCGACGGAGCCTTCCATGTTGACAGTGTGCGACAAAGAGAGAGTGTGGCGTCCAGATAAAGCGAAATGTTAAAAAGAAACAGCGACCTGAGCTAGGGTTTTAAAACAAAGATTTGAACTTTTTTTTTTCAATAGATAAGGAGTATTGGACTGCATTATTCCGGTAAATCCATATATTAATTAATAATGCAAGTCTTTACCATATGAAAATGATAATGGAAAAAAGTATATATATTCTGGTAAGGTTTTAAGTAAAAAAAATTGATTATTTATTTATTTTATGATCAATTTTGGCTTTAACAGTGAGTTTGGCTTTAGTATAATTACCTTTGTTACATTAATCGCTCACGTTAATGGATCTTTAACCAGGGAATTTACCTCATCTAGGGGACTTCGGCAAGGCGATCCGTTATCACGTTTTCTTTTCCTTTTTGTGACGCAATGTTTATCGGCTTTATTTCACAAGGCACAAAGGAAAGGTACAATCAAATCAAGGACATTCGTGCTTGCTGAGATGGATCGCGTGTCTCGCGTTTATTATTTGCGGACAATAGCTAGGTGTTCATGAAGAATTCTACAGCGAAGGCACGAGACATTAAGGAAATTCTACATGTCTATGTTGAGACATCTGGGTAGAGGGTGAATCTGGATAAATCGGTCATCTATTTCAGTCCCTAGACCATCGATACTCATCGATGACAGTTAACGAACATATTTGGTATTCAACCAGTTGATTCTCTAGGTCACTATTTGGGATTACCTCTGTACATTGGGAAGAACAAAACTAATGCTTTTGGTTATCCGCGGAACAAAGTTGTAGATCGTGTTATGGGATGGACAAAGTGGTGGGTGAAAGAGATATATTTCTTAAATTAGTGGCACAAGTTTTACCTCAGTATGTTATGTCTTGTTACATGCTTCCTGAGCACCTGCTTAATGAGATGACTTCCGTAATGCATCGTTTTTGGTGAACGTGAAAGACAACAAAAAGAGGGTGGCCTCTTATTGCATGGTCAAAGATCAATCAAAACGTCAAGGAGGCCTTGGTCTACGAGATTTGCACTCCTTAATTTAGTACTACTCGGTAAATATGTGTGGAGGCTCATTAGATATCCCAATTGTTTGCTTTCTTCTGTTTTACGAATGAAATATTTCCCTAGCGGTGACAATCTTAATGCTAAAAAAGGAGCTACGAGTTCTTATGCTTAGAAAAGGATATATAAGGCGCTCCAAGCTATGTTAGGTGCTATTTTTTGGCGTATTGGCATCGACAACAAATTGAATCTTCTATAAGATCAATGGGGTGGTTCGGATCAAGTAACCCTTTCTGGTGACTATACTTCTCTCCCTCATATCAGTTCAAGGCAATTTTTTATGCATCCAGGTAGTACTAGTTGGATTGCGTCCCAGATTAGAGACATTTTCACGGCTGATGATGCTGAGAGGATATTAGGAACGACCATTGCACCTTGTACAGAAGAGATTCTAATATGGGGATTCTATGACTCTGACACATATTCAATTCGTTCAGGATATTGATGGTTATAGAGAGACCTTTCTGTAAGATCAATTGGGTGGTTCGGATCAGGTAACCCTTTCTGGTGACTATACTTTTCTCCCTCATATCAGTTCAAGGCAATTTTTTGGCGTATTGGCATCGACAACAAATTGAATCTTCTGTAAGATCAATGGGGTGGTTCGGATCGGGTAACCCTTTCTGGTGACTATATTTCTCTCCCTCATATCAGTTCAAGGCAATTTTTTATGCATCCAGGTAGTACTAGTTGGATTGCGTCCCAGATTAGAGACATTTTCACGACTGATGATGCTGAGAGGATATTAGGAATGACCATTGCACCTTGTCCAGAAGAGATTCTAATATGGGGATTCTATGACTCTGACACATATTCAATTCGTTCGGGATATTGATGGTTATAGCGACCTTTGCATTTTGTGAAACTAACTTCTAAAGTTTGGAAAGCTCTCGCAAAATTAAAGGTAATCCAAAAGGTAAGAGTCTTTACCTAGCGGGTGGCACATGACGGTATACCCGTGGGAAAGCGCCTTCGTGAAGCAAGCATAGACGATGGTTTATGTCCCATGTTTCAATTAGCGGAGGAGACTACCATCCATGTGCTAAAAGATTGTTCGTAGGCACAAAAGACTTTAGAACTAGTGGGATTTCTTGGCTCGATTAGATCCGCCAACTTCATATTGCCTTTGTTTTGGTTGAAACCATGGCTCCTATTCTGGGTATGGGCGATTCGCTGAATTTATAGTCTTTTTATAGAATATATGGAGTGGGCACAATACTCAGGTTCATAATGCTAAGTACCAACTCCCATGGATTGTGGCCCTTAATGCACAATCACTTTAAAGGGATTACATCTCGGCCATACACCAAGCTGCTCGTGATAGCTAGCCTACACCGTCGCCGATCGAGGATGACCCAGTGGCCAGGTATATTAAAGAGGAAGGTCGGAGGAAGGCGACATGGACACTATCTTTCTTTGCAGGTACCTCAGCAAAGCGATAACAACCGTCGATTCAAGACTTCATAAAGATCAATTTGGATGGAGCTTTCGACCCTAGTAGACGCCTTGTTACTGTTGGAGTTATTGCTCGTGATGCAGCCGGTTACCTTTAGGCAGTATGGCATTGGCGTCTTCGTCTTATGGAGAGGCCGACCTTGCAGAGATTCATGCAGTTATTGTTGGTTTAAAGTTTGTTGTCAAGAACTAGTGGCATCATATGGTTAAAAAATAAAATTCCACTATGGTTGTTAATAAGCTTAATAGTGATATGGACGACTTATCCACTCTTGGCTTCCATTTGCAAGAAGCTCGGAATATTTAGCTACTCATGTTTCTTTTATAGTTGGTTATGTTGAGGGTTATTGTAATAAGGTTGCTCATACGTTAGCCTCTTGGGCTCTTCGTTTTAAGCGTACTTTATTTTTTGACTCAGTTTGTTCCGAGATTATCATCTCTGATGTAGCCAATGACATTGATTTTGAGTAATATATTTGTTGGACACTCTTTTTCTTTTATAGGACTAGAAGGGATTTTTAACAACCTCATTCTTTTCAAAAAAAGAATGATAAGAAGTCAATAAAACATTACATGTGTTTTTAAGGGTTTTTTTTATTTAAATATCATTTCATAAAAAATAATATCAAAATAATTTTTATTTTAAATTGATATTAAAAATTAAATTACAAATAATGTAGGATGATAAAATGTTTTATATAATAATCTACAATCTCGTGGAATAATTATTTTTGTTGTCTAATTTAAAGATTATATAAAAGTATAAAAATAAAAGCTGCATCATAATACTAAAAATTAGGGATGGATCTTGATACTATACATAAATTTTAATAAAATGTGTAATATGTGAAAAAAAAATTAAAGACACAATGGAAAAGTTTGAGGGCAGCAATATCTTTAACCTAATATTTTCAATGTACGGGCCTATAAACAACTAGAAAAGGCCCATCAATGGAGATTTTTGGGCAATTAGCCCATTTACGTTTAAAATGTAAAAATCGAACTCGACGTCGGCTCCCCTATGAATACCCCGGCCTTCTCAACGAATTTTCTCAATTTCCAGCACTTATAAATTTCTACAATTTTTTAATTTAAAATTTCATATCTATTATATATTGGAATTTCGTTTAATTTCCCTCTTTTGTTAACCATCAAACCGGAATTTTGTGTCTTTTCTCCGATTCCTTTATATCCCAGTTGAATCCCCAAAGCCCTTAGAACTCCCATGGGTTCAGGTTAGGTTTGTTCTGGGTTTTATTAGATTTGCATAAAGGGAGAAATATGGGTCACTCTAGCTTCCAAGGTCTTCAATTTCACGCGTGTTTATCGTTTCTTTAACTTAAAATCCCTTTTTTTTGGATTGAATTGTAAAGCCTCTTTTGTTGTTTTTCGTTGGAGCAGACGAAGATGACGATGAAGAAGAATACGGGGAGGAAGCTGGTGGGAGTAATCGGCTCCTGGGTTTTATGTTTGGGAATGTCGATAACTCTGGTGATCCTGATGCTGATTATCTTGATGAGGTAAGTTTTCGATAATAACTATCCCTTTTCTTCTTGGAGCTTAATTTTTTGGTAATTTAGTTGTGAACATAACGAGAACATTTCTATGCTGTTATCGCTGCTTATGAAACCGTTCAAAGCTCGCCATTTGCTTACTTTGCGTGTCAAGTAGTCAGTGGAATCTCATGTCTTGATGAGTTTGGGAATGTGTAACACTTCTCCTTTTGGTGAGCAGTGTTTGGATGAGGTAAAGGATAAAATGAAGCTGGTGTGAGGAAGGAAAGTGTAATACTTGCTTTTTCGGGAGGAGTATTTTTGAATCTACGTAAGTTTAGTGTTCAACGAAAAATTATGATTTAGGTTTATATTAATTTGGATTTTGCACCTCTAGATTGGTGGAACAGAAGCATCTTGATGCTGCAGTGAATTATTTCTAATTGAGTTTAGAATAAAGTACTTGCTGTTTGGAAGAGCCCATTTGGCTTGAGGAATTGCTAAATGTAATTTAAATACATTACAGAGAATAACCAATCCCATAATTACCTGCTTTTCTAAGACTCATTTGTTCCTGAAACTCCCATCAATTCAACTCTACTAAGTTCGAGTCACATATAATGAAACTCTTACAAGTTTGGAGAAATAAACTTGCCAATCTTTGTGAGTTAAATCATGATACTCAGGCATATAAAACAAATGCAACAGGAAAGAAGATTAGGTTACTAAATTAGGGTCAAGATAAGACTAGTGAACCCAAGAAAATCCAATTCCAGAAAATCAAAAGCACTAATTATAACACCTCATTGAAAATTTAAACTATCAAGTTAAAAAAAACCCAATGGCACCGAATTAAATACAGAAACTATAGGATAATGATGTGACAGTTATGCAAGGTTAGCTTCCTTTGGACCTGAAGGAGTTTGCTGCTCTTGAAGAACCCCATGATTTCTTCTCATATTTCTTCCAGAACCTGATAAACTCATTAGCCCTTGCGGGGGATAACATACTAATTTGACTTGCACTATTAAGCTGTCAGTTTGGTGTTTTGCTTAACTACTTCATTAAAGATGACAGACTTTATCTCTTCCAGGACGCAAAGGAACATCTTGCTTCTGTAGCAGACAAGTTGTGTCCATCTCTTACGGATATAGATGTACATATTAGGGATTATATTCCCAAATATCTGGCTTCTATCAATAGAAATATCAAGAAATACATAGAAATAATCTTCCTATCTGTACATATTAAAGAAAGAAAAAAAAAACTTGTTCAGAATAAATTGTGTTTATTTCTGCTGAATATGGCTGACTTAAATAGAGTTTACAATGTAACAACTTTACATAAAAAGATGCATAAAATTAGCAACATAATAAAAATGATTCTATCTAATTAAAAATGATCCTATCTAATAACTAATAGAATAAAAAACTGATTCTATCTAATTAAAAATGATCCTATCTAATAACTAATAGAATAAAAACTGATTCTATCTAATTAAAACTGATCCTATCTAATATTTAATTTAGATATTCTCGACACCCCCCCTCAAGCTGGAGAATAGATATCGATCATTCCCAGCTTGGACAGAAATCCTTCGAACATCGTAGTAAACAGACCCTTGGTGAGAACATCGGCGAGCTGCTCTGATGATGGAACAAACGGTATGCAGATATCGCCATTTTCCAGCCTCTCCTTGATGAAATGTCGATCTATTTCGACATGTTTGGTCCTGTCATGCTGTACAGGATTCTGAGCAATACTGATTGCCGATTTGTTGTCGCAATACAACTTCATCGGTTTATCTCTTTCAACCTTCAGCTCCTCTAAGATCCTCCTAAGCCATAACAACTCACATACTCCTTGCGCCATGGCTCTGAACTCGGCCTCCGCACTGCTTCTAGAGACAACTGGTTGCTTCTTGCTCCTCCAAGTAACTAAGTTGCCCCAGACAAAGGAGCAATAACCGGTAGTAGATCTTCTGTCTGTAGAACTTCCGCCCCAATCAGCATCAGTGAAGATCTCCACTCTTCGACTTCCATTCTTCGAAAACATGATTCCTTTACCAGGACTCCCTTTCAAGTAATGAAGAATCCGGTAAACAGCTTTGGAGTGCTTTTCTGAGGGACAATGCATAAACTGACTAACCAAGCTCACAGCAAATGCAATATCTGGTCTCGTATGAGCCAAATAAATCAGTTTCCCCACCAGTTTCTGATACCGATTCTTGTCCACAGCTCAGCACCATCTTCTTTTTCGAGTTTTTGATTCGGATCAATAGAGTCGCCACTGGTTTACATCCGAGTAATCCGGTCTCTTTCAAGATATCGAGGACATATTCCTTTGCGATAATTATACCTTTTGAGGATCTAGCCACCTCCATTCTAAGGAAATACTTGAGTTGTCCTAGATCCTTGACTTCAAACTGGTTGGATAAGAAGTTCTTCAACGACTCCAACTCTACTGTGTCTCTCCTGTCATAACAATGTCATCTACATACACAATTAAAATAGCAATTTTACCATTATTGTGTTTGTAGAACATAGTATGATCAACTGGGCCTGAGTGTAACCATGTTGTTTCACAGCTCTCGTGAATCTCTCGAACCAGGCTCTCGGAGATTGTTTCAATCCATAAATGGATTTCTTTAGCTTGCAGACCTGCCATCCTTCTTCAATTCATCAAAGCCTGGAGGAACTTCCATAAACACCTCTTCCTCTAGCTCACCGTTTAGGAACGCATTCTTCACATCAAACTGTCTGAGAGTCCAATCCAGATTGGCGGCTAGTGAGAGTAGGACACGTACGGTGTTTAGTTTGGCCACAGGTGCGAAGGTCTCCTCGTAGTCAAGGCCGTATGTCTGAGTGAAGCCTCGTGCTACGAGTCTTGCCTTGTATCTCTCGACCGAGCCATCTGCATGGTATTTGATGGTGAACACCACTTGCTGCCTACAGATTGTTTCCCTCAGGTAAAGGAGTTAGATCCCACGTGTCATTCTTCTTCAGGGCCTTAACTCCTCAAAAACTGCCTCTCTCCATCTCGGAACTTCTAGAGCTTCATGTATCGACTTAGGTAGTGCATCATCCATAATCCTGGTGGAAAAAGCTTTGAAATCTGGAGAGAGTTTATTATAAGATAAGAAATTGGATATTGGATGTTTTGTGGTACATGATCTAACACCTTTGCGCAAGGCTATGGGTTCAAAGAATTCTGTAGAAGGCTCTAAATTTGGAGAAGAAATAGGAGAAAGAGAAGTCGTACCTTGGACCATAGTCGAGTCCGATGGTTGACATACCTTGGGGACCGGTGGAACATTACTTGGTCGAGTCATCCGTCTAGAATAAACACGAAGTTCAGTAGTGGTTCCAAGTTGGTTTCTACCTGAGTCTCACGAGGTTGTGAATTTATAGGTTGTGAAATCCTAGGATTAGTTACGGAAATATGAATTGGTTCCACTGAGCTATTTACAACCAATTTTGGCAAGGATGTTTGTTCCCAAAAACTCATTTCAGAGTCATTCTCCCCGGAAGAGAGTTTTTTGTCAAAAAAAGGTTGTTTTTCAAAAAACGTGACATCCATACTCACATAATACTTCCCAGATTTAGGATCAAAGCATTTATACCCTTTTTGTGTTGGTGAAAACCTAGAAATATGCATTTATGTGCTCGGGGATCGAGTTTTCCTCTATTTTGGCCGTGTATATGAACAAAAGCAATGCAACCAAAAATTTTAGGTGTTAAATCATGAAAGATCTATTTTCAGGAAACATATTCTTTAGAGCTTGCAAAGGAGTAATATAATTAAGAACTCTTGTAGGCATTCGATTTATCAATAAGACGCTGTTAAGAGTGCTTCATTCCAAAAACGATTAGGAACATTCATAGCAAACAGTAAAGCCCTAGTCACCTCTAATAAATGCCTATTTTTTCTTTCAGCAACTCCATTTTGTTGGGGAGTATCAACGCAAGAACTGTGATGAATAATTCCTTTTTGTTTCAAAAATCACCTAAGATTGCATTAAATATTCTCGACCATTATCGGTTCTAAGAACTTGAATATTTGCTTGAAACTGAGTATTGATCAGTGAGTGAAAATTTTTGAAAACACTTGCTGCCTCGGATTTTTGTTTTAGTAAATAAATCCACGTGACTCTAGTGTGATCATCAATGAATGTGATGAACCATCTAGATCCTGAGGCTGTTTTTACTCGTGAAGGGCCCCAAATATCACTATGCACAAGAGAAAAGGTTTTGATGGCATATACTTTAAAGATGGATAAACAGATCTATGATGTTTTGCCAATTCACAAGCTTCACACTGAAAAGAAAAACCGTCCCTTTTTTTGAAAAGATTTGGAAACAAATATTTCAAATAATTAAAACTAGGATGGCCTAACCTATAATGCCACAACATTATTTCATTCTCACAAGACAAGGTAGTAAAGTATCTCGGTTTCTGAACTTGTTTATTTGAAGGATTGTCCGTGACCAAGTGATAAAGTCCATCAACCTCCTTAGCATTGCCAATCATCTTCCCCGAACAAGGGTCCTGAAATTCAAATCCAGCAAATGTTATTGTAGCAATGCATTTGCAATCATGAATAATACGATTAACAGAGATGAGATTGCAAGAGAGCTTTGGGACATGTAGGACATTTAGTAATGTGAGAGATGGAGAAATAATGATAGAGCCTTTTCCAGCTATAGAGGTTAGGGAGCCATCAGCAATTTTTACCTTCAGATTACCAGATAAAGGAAAATAAGATGAGAATATGGAGGAATTACCGGTCATGTGATCTGTTGCCCCTGAATCTATGATCCAAGGGTTTGATTTAGAACCGGCTATGAAAGCTGTAGGATATGTACCTTTCTGGGCTAATGATGAAGAGGCAATATAAGATGATGGGTTAGGAGTGTTGGATATGGAATGAGAACTCATTAGTTGATACAATTGCTCTAGCTGTTCTTTGCTGAAGGCAGACAGTTCTGAGGCAGGTTTCGGCTCTTCAGAAGCATCTTCAGATGAGGCATGGAATCCCTTTGCATTACGAGAATTTCGATTGGCTGAAAAATTCTCGCTGGCTTCCCGTGTAGCTTCCAACACTTGGCTTTAGTGTGTCCCGGCTTGTTGCAGTGCTCGCAGATTGGCCGATCTCTGTCGTTCCGACGATCGTTGCGACGTGGTGGCTGACCCGAGAACAAGGCAGAAGACTCGGTGGGATTTGGTGAGTGGCCTCCAAGCATGACTGTCCGCCGCTCTCCTCTCGTCTGACTTCGGAGAAGACTTCTCTTGTGCTTGGTAGTGGTTCACGACCAAGGATGCGCCCTCTGACTTCATCCAATTCCTTGTTAAGGCCGACAAGGAATTCGAAGACGCGTTCTTTTTCCACCATCTTCTGGAATAGAGCCCTGTCCTTAGCACAACTCCATTCATAGTCGCTGAACATGTCAACCTCTTGCCACAAGGTCTTGAGTTCAGTGTAGTATTGAGTGACAGTTTTTTCTCCTTGTTTTAGCCTCCATAATCGAGTTTTTAGTTCAAACCATTGTCCTGCGTTCCCGAGATCAGAATAGGTCTCGTTCACAGCATTCCAAATGTCATAAGCAGTAGGTAGGAAGAGATAAGTTCTCCCTACACTCGGATCCATGGAATTTATGAGCCAAGACATAATCATCGAGTTTTCTGCCTCCCATCTTTCAGATTCTTCATCTTCTTCGGCAGGTTTCGTAGTGATACCTGAGAGATAGCCGAATTTTCCACGGTCACGAATAAACAGTTTCACAGATTGTGACCACTGTAAGAAATTATTTCCATTCAACTTGTGAGAAGTGATGGATATGTTTTGGAAGGATTCAGTGTTTAGGGTGATTGAAGGTGAGCGAGTAGAACTCATAGAGTCGATACCAGAGGTATCATCGTAGAATTTGGCCATTTTGGCTCTGATACCATAAAGAAAGAAAAAAAAAACTTGTTCAGAATAAATTGTGTTTATTTCTGCTGAATATGGCTGACTTAAATAGAGTTTATTAGCAACATAATAAAAATGATTCTATCTAATTAAAAATGATCCTATCTAATAACTAATAGAATAAAAAACTGATTCTATCTAATTAAAAATGATCCTATCTAATAACTAATAGAATAAAAACTGATTCTATCTAATTAAAACTGATCCTATCTAATATTTAATTTAGATATTCTCGACACATATCACTTTTCTACACTACTCAAGTAATTTCTGCAATGCTTCAATTTGCTCCGTTTAGGCTGGTGTTGGAGGCATTATCCGAATTTGCATGGCTTCTCTAACTTGGCGTGTTTGGCTAGGTCTCCAATCAATAAGCTTTTCATGTAGTTTCCAGCATCTCTCTCAAGTGGCCAAGTTTCTTGCAATGTTCACACCATGACGTTCCTTTTCTTTGCTTGTTATCCTGAGACGTGGTGTGCGTGTAGCCTTGTACTAGGTTAAACCTTCAGCAACTGTGGAATTGATGTTTTCTGTCATCTTTGGTTTCTTCCTGCTTTCTTCTCTTCAACTTCTGCAAATACCTCTAGGATGGAAGGCAAAGGTTCGTTGTCTAGGATTTTCTACCCTTTCATCCAAATCTTTATTGAGAGCAGGGAGAAATTTGAATATTCTCTTTTGGTCAACAATCTTTCTATTCCAGGTTGCATCTTCAGGACATTTCTAGAGATGTATTTCAAACATATCAAGTTGCTGCAAATACCTGGTGATTTTGTTATAATATTGAGTGATAGTCATCTCTCTTTTTCGAAAATCATGAAATTGAGTCTCGATCTCAAAGAGTTGAAAGGTGTTTTCTGAGTTGGAGTAAATCTTTTGCAGTCTCCCAAATTTTCTTGGTTCCTTTGTAGAGAAGAAAATTTTCTCCAATTTCCATGATCGTTGAATTTATGGTTTTCAATCTTGCATGTGCAATACTTGGGATCAACTGTTTTTGGGATAGAAACCTTCTCAGTGAGATCATCATCCTTGTCCCTACCAGCGATATACATGAGAAAAGATTGGGACCACTGAAGATAATTGTGGCCATTGAATTTGTGACCTTTGATAGGTACTGGTGAGCTGTTGATGACATTGGTTGGTGAATTATACTCTAATCCAGAATTAACTTCGGAAGAGGTGTGGTGTCTCCATGCTTTACTAGGGTTTAGAACCTAGCTCTAACACCATGTAGAATTTCGGTGAAAAGGAAAATTTAACTTCTTGTATTATGCGGCAGAACACGGTCTCTAAATAGGTTGTGTTTACATAAACTAGAATCGTAAGACTACCAGGCTTCTTGTTTCCTAGTACTCTTACCTTAGCTCCTAAGAAATTAAGTTCTAATTAAAATAAAACTTATCCTAAAAAACAGCAGAAAAGAAAACAACTACTAATGAAACTTTAAATGAAACCGACAGAAAAGAGAGTCCTAATTGGCTTCTTTCTATATTTCTCTCTTGTACAACTCGTGCTGGTACATGTGTTAACACTGCCGGTATCATTGAAATTGAGTATAAATTATTGAATTGTAATTGGATCTTCATTATTTTTATATTCTTTATTTTGTGGCTTTGCTCCATGGATGTGTATAAAGTATGATGGAGTATAAATTATTGAATTGGCATAATATCTTTATAATTGCAATGCTATTTTTATAATGCAGCTGATCTGAGCCCAAAATATTATGATGGTTCATTTATTTATATGTTCAAGTGTGTTTTTAAATTAAATTTTTATGAACAAATGGGGATTCAAATATTTGATTTGAAAGGTAGATTCTATGAAATGTTGTAATAGATATCCGAGCTTAGCTCGATTGAACTTTATAACTGTAATAGTTGATAGATAGTTTAGAAGGAGAGGTTCTATATTTGATGCAAATTGGTTTTCATGTTTGAATGGACACTAAATATATAACATTTGTTGATGAACTGTAAATCTCTCATTGCAGACAAGGGGGGGGGGGAAGGAAAATTATGTGCGAATTTGAAAGTATTCTGCAATTTGTGTGAATTTTCTGTATGTTATGTTTGCAACAAGATGAACAAGCATAGCCGCATGCGTGCATGTGATTTGTCGAAGATTTGACCTCTTCCATGATAATCCGCTTCTTAAGAAGCTTTTCCTGCTTAATGTATTATTCAATTATTGTCCTGCAGGTTGGTTTGTCCAACATCTTAGAGCGGATTGTAGAAACGCTAAGAGATAATACCAAGGTGTCCTATCTGTTCTTAAAACCAGTGTCCAACGCTAAGAGATAATACCAAGGTGTCCTATCTGTTCTTAAAACTAGTGTCCAAGAAGGAGGCGCCTGACTACCTGAACATTGTAAGCATCCAATGGGTTTGTCCACAATAAGGAACAAGCTTAGGTTGATAGAATACAAAGATCGAGAAGACTTTAGACATGATGTATGGCAGATTTCCTACAATGCTTATATCTACAATGATGGTCGTAATCCTAATATTCCTCCTCTCGCCGATAAGCTTTTGGAGCTTTGTGACTACTTGCTGTATGAGTAAGCTCATAGCTTGGATGAAACTGAAGCAGGTATAGGGGAATCTTAATCAGATCACACTTTTGAAATCATTCATCCGAAAGCCAGAATTACCTTAGAGAAGAGCTGCTGCTTCTCTGGTGTCCAGGCTTTGAAGAACCAAAGTAATAGAGCTTTGTATACATGTACTTATAACCTCGAGTGCTTGAGTTGTTTCAGGCATCAAAAGAAACTAGTTCATATAGGTGGGTAAGAAAAAAAAGATGGTGATAACCTAGGTGGTGTAGATGGCCAGCAAGTGATGGTTGGTCGTAAAGAGATGAAAGCTTATTGAGAACCAGATCCTTGTTGGAAGCATAGGCCATCGAGGACTAGAAGAACCCCCCCTCCCCGGGACAGTTACTCAGAAGAACTTCATGTTTACATATTATTGGCCAAGAGATGAAGCATTCCCATGATGATATGGGTCTCGGCAGGCAATTTATCTTTCAGACCTTTGTATCTGTTGCCATTAATTATGATGGCTTGGGAAGGAAGGCAAGCAAAGTGAGTTGTGAAATGCCTCAGCTGTTTACAAGGGTAAACTTAGCAGTCGAAGCTCCTTTCTGCATAGGTTAGTGTGATGCAAGTTTTATTAATTTTCTAATAATAACTTATGTGTATGTGTTAGAGGGTAAATATTGGAAGGATATATATTTAAGAATTTTGATGCACAATTGATAACTTTCTGTAACCTAAAAAATATATGTATCAATGTATATATTTCCTTTCCCTTTTTTGTTTCCGATCGTAAAGAATTTTCATTCATTTGTGTTGAAGTTCAGTTATCAAAAACGATTTTTTTAATTTAATGTGATAAATTTGTAAATAAAATTAAATTTATTAAATGGCCCCAAATTAGATGCTCCATGGAGCCTAAAATCAAGTATAGTTTCTTAGGCAAATTGATCAATTACTGCTGCAACTATACAAAGAGATAATAGAGTTGAAAAATTAAATAAGCAGAAATTTCAATACTGAAACGACCCCTTTTCCACAACTATAAATAAGTCCCAAAGTCCAGTAAGAACAGCTTAAAATATGAAAACCTGTAATATGAAAAGCAGTCTCATAGCCGTTAATCATAGCAGGCATTCTCGGTGGAGCCATGCCTGGAATGACAACGGATGTGCAACAGATGAATGATGCCGTAAATTTGGGTGTAGTGTTATTCCAGAGGAGCTTTTCTTGATGCTCTCGGTTCACAACGTTTGGCTCAGTCGAAGAGCCCCCGTGTGAGGTTGCCGCTTTCTTTGCAACATCTCTTAGCAGTATTTAGCATATGACATCTCGATTAGCCAATGACTAGATTATGACTTTGTAAAGCAAAGATCGTTTGGAGACGTCTTTTCTCGAAGAATAAAACTATGAGGATGACTGATGAATGGATGATCTTCACCTCCTAAATGCTAAGCTATAAGCTGTTGTTTCCAGGTTTTTGCCACATAGAAGACAGATGAGGCCATGAAGGATTACTGCAATGGGACAACAATACAATATCAACAAGTTAGACGGTCCCTAGCATAAAATCTTGCATCTGTTCATGTTGGTTCTGAGCTTGGGTTAGACGGATTATGTGCACCAGAAACTTTGGCCAATGACCCTGTTGTAGCCTTCAAAGCTGCCATATGGTTTTGGACCAAAAAATTTGCAGCGGGAATGACATTGGTTATGGGACTCTCGAGTGTGATGGTGCAGAGCGTAAGAAAGTTCAATCTCTTATTTTCTTTATCGTCTAACCGTGAAGAGAATGGCACTGGTTATGGGACTCTCGAGTGTCGCCCTAGCGTTGCACTATTGCTCGGGCCTGGCGCACCCCACTCCACCCAATCTCAAGTTTAATGTTTCAATTCTGTTTCGGACTATCAATCAAAATCTGTTCTAACTATTAACCCTTCGCCTTCTACAAATTACACTGTTAGAAACTACAACTAAGATAATTCCTTTTGTTGTCTTAGCATTATAATATCTTCATTAACCTTTTTTTTTATTATTTGTTTGGTAAACTATGTTCTGGTCATTTAATTGTTTTTAGTTGTTGTCGATAAAAAAGGTGCAAGTAAATGTGACATTCCTTACAAGTACTGAATGTTTGCTTGACCAAAAAGTGTCATTAAGTAGATTTTTTTTATCACTAGTTGTGTTGCTATTGGGGGTTAGAATTTATTCTTAATTACAAAGAAATATCTGTTACAATAAACAATGTTAATCCAACTATCATACCTAAATTTAGATGCAAGTGTAAGATATTATTTTCTCAATTATAAGTATTTTAATATTTTATAGGGTTTTCCTGTATTATTTTAGAGAACTTTTAGAAATTTATATCTTCATGTATATATATTTGGAAAAAAAATATTAGACATGAATATCAAAAGAATTATTTAAATATATAATAACTCAAAGCGGACTTTGGTCCATCCTTGTCCAAGCGGTTAACATTAATATTAACAAACCAAAATACTATGAAAAAAATATTAGTTTAGGTAAACTAAAATAGCATGTTTGGCCAACGAGTGTTGGCACAAGTAGTTGAGATTCAGGAATTTGAGCTTGTAAGGTTAATTTCGAATCTCACCGCCGTCACTCTTGGTAGACAATCTGTAAAGTCTTATGTAAATCTCTATTATATCTTAGATATGCGATATGCTCTGACCCTGAATTGGGGGAGCCATCCCTGACCTAAACTTTTATGTACCAAGAAAAAAAAATTAAAATAGCATGCTTGAGATAAGATTATCCTAACAAAACAATGAGCTCCCTTACTAGCATTCCGTCGTATTCATATAACTAGAAAGAACTGATCATTTATCAATAGAAGAAATAATGATAAATTCAATTAAAAAATTATAATCAAGATTAAAACTTGTATAATACAAGATGAAAAATTTTAAACAAAAAACTTACAAAAGTATAGTTAAAATATGCACAAAACTCAATTAAAACTTATTTTTACGAATAAACAAGCATTTGAGATTCGTTGCATGAAATAACATAATGAGAGTTTACTGACAATGAAGAATGAAAGCTGATAATTAAGTCAAATATACTAATAAAAATAAAAATCAAAGAATTATGTTTATCATCATTTACATTTGCGTCGTACAAATTCTTCATAGCTAGTAAAGAAACTTGCATAACACATCTAAATCCAACAAAAACAAATGTTGGGTGTATGTCTATATATTGCACTTTGTTCAACTTCCACGGGGAATGGCCTAGTGACCAGGTCCTTGAGGACTAGGTCCCGAAGCTAGCCGTTGGATCCAACACGACACGGTGAACTTCGCCTTGTGGTAAACCGTCGAGTAACTATCGAGGTGGTTCACGGCAGCGAAATCTTCCGGCAAAACTCTGGCCGCTTCAATCTGGCTCAACACCGCCATTGAGATGACAAAGGCGATCAAAAGGCTACTTAGTTTTCTGCTATTCATCTTCCCGAACAGTAATCCTGACACCAGGAAAAAAAAAGGCTACAAATCTTCAAAGATTATGTATTGAATATGCAGTAGTTAAGAGATACTTGATGTGAATGAGGAGGAATTGGAACTGAATTGTTAATATATAGGGGGGAAAACACAAGGGTTTACAAAAAGTCCAGTAATAACAGCTTAAAATATGAAAATATTGAGGAAATGTGGGCTTTTAACGTGTTGACCAAGAAATCGTAAAAGCTCGTTGCTGCTGGGAAAGCTGAAACACTATGTTAATTGAACCTGTCAATGGCTGCTACAGTGTACTCGTGAAAATTACGTGTTTGACCTTTGTGTTTCATTGCCTGGATTCAAGAACCGATGAAGGTTGCTTTTGTTATTTTGAGAAGAAGACAGGGTCAGAATGGAGATTCAGTTAAGTAATTTAATTAAGGTCCAAAAGTTTGAAATATTAAATTTGACCAAGATTTTGGCTGTTCGGCCTGTGCTCGAGTAAGATGACAACATCAACAATTGAGTATGTGTGTGTTTATATTATAAGTGTCGAACACTACTATTTAGCTGTTGAATTTGACTGTTGAGATCTTGATTAATGTTATAATCGATTTCAAAATACCAAAATATTTTATATTTCGACACTTCTTACCTAATTATTACAACATAAAAATGATTTAATTCAGTTATTTTTAATAATTAAATTGAATTAATTGATTATAAAAGATTCAAACATTTTTATCCTTAAACCGAAATTCAAAAATATTATTTTTTCTTAATAGTACAAGGTTATTACAATGTAGTATCTATTCAGATTTTTTGTTACTTATAAGAGACGCATCATTGAGATGCAGTTACTCAAACTTTTAATTAAATGAATTTAAAAAGAAGGACCACACTCCCTCTTACTAATTAAATGAAATAATACGGTTATTTGATTAATTAATTAGATTTTAACCTAATAGTGAACCCTAATTAAACTTCTAAGGCAAACTAGTCTTGGGAGTAATTGAACTTTAGCTTTGAAGGGTTTGTAATATTTGTGTTATATGTTTATATTCTACATCTAAATTTAATCTTGTAATTAAATTTTACAAGATTTTTAGTAAATTTATATTTCAAAGTACCGACTAGAGGCTTAAAATAATTAAGGTAAATATATATTTTGGTACTTCAATTTAATTTTAAAGTACAATTTAACGTTTATTTTTTTAGTCAAATTAGATACTTTGAGTTTAGTTTAAAGTTTTAGTGTGATACTTGAATCCTTTTTTTTTTATCCAATTTGGTATCTGAACTTAATTTTTAAGATCAAATTGATACTTAAATTTAGGCTAGTAGTTCATCATTTACCAAAAGTGCCAACTTAGACTAAAAAATGAAATTTAAATATCAATTTGAATCAACAAGTTAAGTTCAAACACCTCGAAACAAAATTCAAGTACCAAAATATATGTTTACCCAAGTAATTAATTTATAAAATTATTTTCTACAATACATTAAACGTATGTGTGCATGTGAATATATAAATCACGTGTTCAAAGTTGCAATTCTTATGGATGTGTTTGAATTTTTGTTTTTCCATTTTTAGAATTTTAAAATCAAATACGTTGAAGTTGTCAGTTCGAAAACAATAATAATATTTTATGATAATAGATCAAAATTGTTTTCCTTTAGGTTGGAGAGAATGCGATAGTCAATGTTGACGGTGACCTGAGATAAGAATGAAACTTAAAGAATTTTACTGTTGATGGGAAGATGAAATTGAGCAAAAGGGAAAACATGACATAGCTTTCATCTCAGCAAAAAAGGTCACACCATCAT